TATATATATATATATAGCACCAAATGTCTGATTTCCTCCTACATATTTCTCAGCAATGGAAGTATGAATTGAGAAATGTTACAACCAGTTTCTGCATTGCTGCATAATGTTCTCCAGCACTGTGATCCAGTTTCAAATGTGATGGATTTGCATTAGGGATAATTTCACATGGGAATGGAGAAGTGACAGTCGTTGCGGATATCAGGGACATTGTAACAAAGTAAAACAATTTTAAAGAAGCACACAAGGAAGCTTTTATAGCTCATAATGGCAATATCAGTCCTCTTGAAGAATTTGCTCTTAAGCAGCACTTTTGCTTTTAAAAGTTTAGAATGGCGGACAGATTCACTTTAAATTCATCTACTCTGCTAAAGCTAGCCACACGAGTATCATCTTGCTCCCCATAAAAGCCCTTATGGTTTTATGCAAAGTAATACTGATTGTGACTTCTGTTATCTTAATATGTTCATAAGACAGAACGCATAATCCGTGTAGGATCTATAGTAATGGGATGTGAGATTACCCGTGACCCATTGCCCCATTGGCGGGTTTGATGATAAAGGTTTTCTGTTTCCTCTTCTTCTTTAATTCTTTCACGTAGTTTTGGTACTGAGTGTATTCCGCGGGGAATATCCAGGTGCGTGGAATAAAGCTATATTCATGAGGCTGACACTTGATCATTCTGAAAGACACAACCCACATAGCCGTTTTAATACAACTGAACATAGTTCCAAGCGAAAGAATAAAAAAAACTGTAGGGGAGGAATTTGTGAAAACTGCCCTGTTAACAGTATAAGGGCATTGTGTGGATGTGAAACAGGTTCTAGTACTCAATATTTGCAGCACACCACGCCCTCTGATTGACAATACCACTTGAACAATAATGGTAATTATTGCCACTTAGTCCTATCCTCCCTAGATATAATGAGCATTTAACCCTTGCAGTACAGAGTCCACTGCAGGGGTCATTTTTCCTGCTGCCCAGAGTTGGGCTTTAACCTTGTAAGGAAGCGTAGAGTTATGAATGACTACATCTTGGGTGTTATATTTGGATGGGGGCTGCAAATCAGAGGTAAGAAAACACCAATATGACATGGCTGCCCTACACCCGTATCCTACTCAACTGACGTGACATCAGCCTAGGAGACTCACTTGTTCATGTTTCTTGAAAGGCAGTCCTTACGACAGATCTCTCCCATCCCGGGGAAATGGTTAATCCTCTGAAATGATAAAATGATAAGGAGAAGAAAACACTGGTGAATAATACATGAGCAGACTTCTTCTACAAGGCTAAGAGTTGTAAACCTTAGCACCCACTCAGGAAATGACTCCCACTGACATCGTTTACAATTTCAATATCATCATTGTTCTGTGTACAAGTTAAAGTGTATCCAAACCCAAGAACAAAAATTTAAAGGAGAACTATGAGGTGAGTGATTTTCACTCACCTCATAGTTCTAGCCGACCTGTGACAATGAGACTGTCACAGGTCGGCTTAGTAGATCGGGAGGTGATCGAACACATACCGGCGCTCGCTCACTTCTCAATCCTGTCACGGCTCTCTGCCGGGGGAGGGGCTGGATTCCACCCTTCCCGCTCCGATCCTCCAGCTCTGACTGGTGGATCGGACGGGGGAGGGGTGGGTACAGCTGGCTCTGTCTCTAGATAGGCAGAGCCAGCTGTCAGTCACGCAGCTGGACGGATCCCGGAACAATTGTCGGGATCCACTTCAGCTGCGGCGTCTCAGTATACCGCGAGCTACAGCTCATGGTATACTGAGCCTAGGGTGACGGGAGGACGCTAGTTTGTGTCCTCCCGTTACCCTAAGGAGAACTATGGGGAAAAGCCTTAACCCCATAGTTCTCCTTTAATATTTCAGCTTATCACTTCATAGATGAGGTGTCTGCGTTTGTTTTCAGGTTTTTTTACATTTTAGTTTCACCTGGTGATTCTGCCGGTAACAGGCTTCCAGTCCTAGGGTGACAACGCTCACTCACTGCACTGCATCTACGGAGAAGCAGCATTGTCACCCTAGGCTTCTCTCATGATTTGGACTAAAGAACACCTCTCCTCCAAAACATGGTGGGAGGTTGTTTTGTATTTCAGAGAGCCTGCTGCAGTCTGTAGTTCACAGTAAGAGAACTAGGAAGGCTGATAACATTGCCTGAAATTTCAGTTCAGTGCACAGAAAATGACATGCTCACTGGATTTCTGGCAGGATAAACAAGTATTTTACTATATTGCAAAAACTGTACTTGGCATGAAAAAGCAAACCTAATACAGTCACCACATCCAAAAACTGGTCATCTACAAAAAATTAAATGTATGTTCTTGGGTTTAGATATACCTTTAAGATATATAACTGAACACATCCAATAGTGTACTGTTATTATATTCAAGACCTTAAAAAAATATCCCATTGATACTACAGCCAGCACAAGTTAAAATGCAACATACAAGTGTTGCTAGATCCAAGCTTATTCAATACTGCAACACAAAGGGGACCATTTATAAATCTTCCGCCTGGCTATAAACTGGGAAAAATACTTAAATATCAAATTCCTATGCTCATTGGCTCCACCTAGTGTCGGGAATGCCATGTGAATGGCATTTGCCAAGCATAAGAGTGGCCAGAAGAATTATAAATTGACCCTAAAGCGTAACACTGCTACTAATAAGTAATGGCATGGCTATGGCTACAATAGACCATGCAGCAGCTAGGAGGCCTAGAATCGTCCAATTATGGCCGCATGTGCCCATATGCCCGTGGCCTTATTTGGGACCTCAGATTGAAAAGTAAAAAAAGCCTTGCACTAGACAAATTGTTTTTGAGGTGCGGCAGCCGGTGGGGCTCAATAATGGCCTTGCTTTGAGGCTCTGGTCATAACCCAAAGCAACAAATAAGAACTTAGGGATCATTCACACTAAATGTGTTACCAGAAAATCTCTATTGCAGGCAGAATTCATGGACATCAGAAAATTCATGGTTTTCAATAAAACCCATTACCAGCAACATGTTGGGCTATTCGCCATGCGAATATCAATTAACATTCGTTCCGTGTGGATATATGCTACAATGAACATTTTTAGGTGTTTCTTTACAAGGCAATGTATTTTTGAATGTTTATTTTTCTTGTAATACCAAATTATGGCCACTAGATGGTGCTGAAAAGCATAGAAAATAAGTATTGATCTTCTATGCTCCACAGCACCAGTCAGTGGCCATCGTGTGGAATTACGTTTGAAAAAAGACAATCGGAAATACACCGCCTTGTAATAAAACTAAAGAACAATCCTTTTGGCATAGATCCACACAAAACAAACGTTCACAGATACTCTATTTTCCTCATCTGCACAATGTAGTTTACTAAAGTTACCCTTCACCCTGGGAATAATTTATAAACAGACCCCGTTGTCTTCTCACTACGCTGGAAAAAGTCCTGAGTGCAACATTTTGGGGTGTGTTAACTTTTTCCTATTTAACTCATAACCCCAATGAAGGTTCCCTTGACCCAATATCAGGTGACATAAACTGAACTGTGGCCACCTACAAAATGCCATGTAACGCGCATTGTTGTCTAAAAATGCAATTCTTGTCTTAATTCTTTACCTTCAATTTCTATGTAAGAATTGGCTCATGTCAGGTAGTCTTGCTCCAGAGTAGTAATTGAGGCATGATAATGGGGGAGGAGTTCAGGAATAATGCTCCACCCACTCAATACCGCCCACTAAAAAGTCTGTAAATGTAATGTTGCTGTGGATGATAGATAGAGGTGCTGCACTCTTCCCACCCACAGGGGCTTGTGCAAACAGTGGCCACAGGCATTGCCCCCTGCTGCCCTGTATAGGCTGGCAATAGAAGAACTGCAATTTTTTTCATATACAAAGCCTTGGGATAGACATGGAAAAATACATTACACAACATTACTGGGCATCTGAAATATACATTTATTGGGGTATTTCTATGAATTATTGTCTAATGAACAAAAGGCTAAAGGAACTGGATTAGTGGTAAATATATTCCTACTGGTGTAACCAATAAACATCCAACCCAGGGGTAGGCAACCTCGCACTCCAGCTGTGGTGAAACTACATATCCCATGAGCCATTGCAAGACTCTGACAGCCACAGGCATGATTCCCAGAGGCAGAGGCATGGTGGGATTTGTACGTTCACCACAGTCTGAGTGCTGAGGTTGTCTACCCTTGATCTAATATATGAGCATGGAGCATTGAGCATTGCAAACTTTACCTGTCTGGCTGTCATGTAAATCCTCTGGCTTTACTAATTTAAGTCACTGACCCACAGCAAGGATGTGGAAGAGCACGTTTGACTTTCTACTATTTTTTAGGGATGCACCGATACCGATACCGATACTATTATCAATATTGGTGCGAAATCGAGTATTTGGCCGAGTAATCTCCGATACTTACCCCCGAATACTGGAACTGCTGCGAGGGAACGTGGAGCTGGCTTCCCAAACAATCAGGAAGCCGGCTTCATGCTGTTTAGCCGGCTCCATGCTGATTGGCCGGGAAGCCGGCTCCATGCTAACGGAGGTACCGGTATCGGTATATGGTATCGGCCAGTACCGAAAGATAAATATCGGTACTTGTACCCAATACCGAAAAACCGGTATCGGTGCATCCCTACTATTTTTCTTATCTGCACACCATAGTTGCTTCAGGTGACTCACCTACCAGTGTCAGAACAACAACCAGGCAACAAGTATCTTCAGAAGTAGGCCAGCAATGGTAGCCTCCATATTTGCCTCTGGAAAGGTTCAATTTAAATGAATTACTGTTGAATCCATTATTTTAAAGCATATGTGAACCTCAACAAATGGCTTCTCTTATAAGTTCCCTTTTGGTCTGGTAAATAAATAGACCATTGAAAGTGTTTTGTTATATCTGTTTGATAAGTGTAAAAAAATATCTGTCGATCCTACCAGAATTCCAGTGTCATGTGAGCTCTGTGTTATCTCAAGGGGTCTAACCAGCCCTCCCAGTTCCTAATTTGGACTACAAACCCTTGTTGAGAAGATGAGGAGAGGGGGCAGCATTCTGTAGTTCAGCAGAAGACAACTGGGCAGGGCTGACACAATTCCTTGCAATTTCAGTCCAAAAAAGGCAACAGGAAATTAGGAGCTATGAGCATTTCTGGTAGATTAATGGGTAGTTTTAGGGTCTCTAAAGCAATAAAACATGCGGAAATGAGCATCTATTTCAGAGCTGTACTGCGCATGTTTTGTTTTTTTTCCCCTGACACACACTCTGAATGAGCCCGGACTTTACTGCATTGAGATTGGACAAATGGTCATTGTACTTTCTACTATTTACTGACTGAAGCTCCATGCTCGGGTTTGGTCTTTCTTCCTGAGTCCCCTGATTGGCTTCCCCCAGGTGCTACAAATAGATGCATAGTGTAATAGCATGTTACTGTACAAGGACCTCATAAGCTTAACAATATGGTCCATTTTTGGTATTCCTGCTGTGCTAGGCACGCATAAATGGAGATAACATTTGATAAAGATTCCACTTGTTACCTGGCCAACCGTGTTTCATAGATATGGTCACAACTATTCAGCTCACATTGGTGACTGTAAAGCCAACCAATCCATGAAAACAGTAGATTGCTGCACATTTCCTACTTGTCTCAGCTCCCCTGTTTCTCCCCCCCCACCTTATATTCCACTGTTAGGTTTACCCTCAAGACAAAAGTCAAAATGAAAAAAATGACTAATGTTCAGTTGACCCTTCTATCCAAGGAATAGGATCATGAATTACGTGGTTCACATTTCTCTGCTGTCCTTTCCATACCTGATAATTCCTGAGCTCTGCAATCTTCTCATGCTGTATTGCACAATCGCTCCAGATGAGATTTGTCGTTTCATCATCATCCCGGCTTTTCACAAAATGCATCTCTTCAATTACCTGACGGACTGCAAGAAGCAGGGAAAGACAGTGAATGGGCTTTAAATTGGCTTACAGTTAACTCAAATTACATTAAAATATAGTAAGGGGTCTATTTATGAACAATCTGCAGAGCCCTTCAGCCTGGAGAGCTCCGTGAATGTTCGTTCTGTGCGAATAGAGGCAAAAAGGATTGAGGCTGAATGTAATGTAATACAGTACCATGGCCATTATTTATTTCCTATGCTCTTCCTGATCCAATTTTCAACCATCAACTAATGTTTACAGCCAGACCCGTAATGTCTAACCATAAGTTAATGTTTACAACAAGACCCCCCAATGTCCAACCATCAGGTAATGTCTACAGCCAGACTCTCAATGTCCAACCATCAGCTAATGTCTATAGCCAGACCCCAAATGTCGAACCATCAGCTAATGTCTATGGCCAGACCCCAAATGTCCAACCATCAGCTAATGTCTATGGCCAGACCCCAAATGTCCAACCATCAGCTAAGACACCCACATACCCCAGCCCTTACCGATCTCATATTTGGTTCCAGAAACATTGGCTGTGATGACTCCATTTTTCCTCTTCTTCCTGATCTTTCTTCTATTGGAGCCATTGGTCTGATAAGGCAAAGCTGAACCTAGTGACAAGCTGGACGACGCATGGCGATCTTACAAACAAGAAATAAAATACAGTCAGTGAATAGTTTTGGAACAGTTATGTTGCATACCTGGTACTTACTGACTGACAGGTGCAAATTAAAGGGACCATGGGAGAGATATGGGAGCTGCCGTTGCTGAATTGTTTTTAAGGTTAGATGCCTTGGAAATCGATCTGATTCTGGTTTTACAGGCAGGTTTGCTGGAACTGACGTTATGTGCAGAGCCATGGACAAGCCTTTGAGCTGCATATGAACACAAAACAAAATACAATGTAACCACACTGTTACAATGTATTTATGATTAGAGCCTGTAACCACTGTTTGTAGGCTCGTGATACACAGCAGCTCTGTTTCTGAAATATAGAGCAAAATTTGACTCTCAAACTGACAGCTGGGACAGCTGGCAGAACTGATGTGGGATGGGATGGGAAGGTACAACCGAGGTCTTTAGATAAAGTCCATCTTGCTAAGTAGAGTGTCCAAACCACCCACACTATATAGCAATAAAATAACCAGAAGGCCCTGATATAAACCAGACTGTATAAATCAAAATCAGACAGACGGCAGTCCTATGCTTGTCTAGTTTTGGCAACATGGCTGCTAACCATCAGCTGTTTTAAGGCAACTGAAGTCCAGGTTTTGCTGTAGACATGTGTCTGCATAAAGGTGTGGGTACATTTCATTGTAAGCTCCCCTGGGTCGAGTACTACATAACTTGTTGACTTTACATACATAAATAAATACACACATGCATAAACATCACACATAGACCTTATGTTTCAAAGTAGACTAGCTGAAAGTGAACTGTACATGTTACTTATACCAACCAATCAGATTCAGGCTGTCATTTTTTAAGTACAGGTAAGAAAAAGAATAGACAAACCTTGTTGGTTGCTATAGGAAACACAAACACATTCATTTTCCCTTTAATGCATAAGGCCCATCTTATGTATTAGAGTGCCTGAAGGAAGGCTGCACATATTTTCCATATCAACCAGTGCAGTAAAGGAGAATCTGGAACCTATAGAAAATTACACTGCCTGGCCAAAACAAATGCTACACACTCTAATATTTAGTTGGACCGCCTTTAGCCTTGATTGAGGCACTCATTCACAGTGGCATCGTTTCGATAAGCTTATGCAATATTTCAACATATATTTCCATCCAGAGTTACATTAGGTTTTCACCAAGATCTTGTAGTGATGATGGGAGAGTCGGACCTCTGTGTAATGTCTTCTCCAGCACATGCCAAATATTCTCAATATTCTCAATGGGGTTAAGGTCTGGACTCTGTGGTGGCCAATCCATGTGTGATGTCTCATGCCCCCTGAACCACTCTTTCACAATTTGAGCCCGATGAATCCTGGCATTGTCATTTAGGAATATGCCCAATGTGCCATCAGGGAAGAAATATAATCAATTGATGGAAAAATCTGGTCATTCAGTATATTCAGGTAGGCAGCTGACCTCATTTTAGGGCACCTAATGTTGCTGAACCTAGACCTGATCAACTGAAGCAACCCCAGATCATATCACTGCCCTAAATCCAGCTGGTGACTTTTTTTCGGCCAGGTAGATCCTACAATAAACAAGGCCGAGTATTGAGTGTTCTGGGCACAAATGTTTACGAATTTAATGAGATGACAGTGGAATGCAGAAACACAGATGTCGTACCAGACTCATTGGGCAAGGATGGCATGATGGCCGGTGACACGGCAATGTAGAGTCAAAGGGACACAGTTGACAACCGTACCCAGCTCACATGAACCGCTCGTCATATCATCTCCGGAATACTCCCAAATGGCATCACAAGCTTACTAAAGTGGAACCTAAAAAAAGAAAAAAAAAACAATAAGTTAGTGGTCCCCAAGTCTCCTGTACCTGGCAACTTACATGGTGGTCACATGTTGCAATCTCTAAGTTTTCAGTAAAGTAGAAGTAACCCCATAAATGAATGATTTTGCTTTGCTATGAATTTATTTTGCTAAAGCACTGCGTATTTTCACTTGCGTTTTTTTTAAATGAAAAAATATGGTTTTCACCTTTTTTCTATTCTTTGTTGCATCTCAGTGCTGTTAATGATCTGCAGCCTCTTTGCAACCACCCACTGTCTAAAAGCACTCCAGAGACGGCTGCATGGCATTTCTCAGGTTGGGTTTCCAGATGCTGATAGCAGTAGACCATGACATAGTAATATATGTTGAAACATGTAGTCTCTGTTGGAAGCCTGTGTGACACCAGGATCTTCATGGCAGGATTGCCAGGTACTATTTTAATTAAAGCTACAGATTTAAAATGATTGCAAATGGCTTGAAGTTTCATTAAAGGAGAACTATGGGGTCAGTGTTTTTCCCCATAGTTCTCCTTAGGGTAACGGGAGGACACAAACTAGCGTCCTCCCGTTACCCTAAGCTCAGTATACTGCGAGCTACAGCTCGCGGTATACTGAGACGCCGCAGCCGGAGCGGATCCCGACGTAGATGACGGGATCCGCCCAGCTGCGTGAGTGACAGCTGGCTCCTCCTATCTAGAGGCAGAGCCAGCTGTACCCGCCCCCTCCCCCATCCATTCTGCCAGTCAGCGCTGGTAGATCGGAGAGGGGAATCCAGCCCGGTATGTGTTCGCTCACCTCCCGATCTACTAAGCCGACCTGTGACAGTCTCATTGTCACAGGTCGGCTAGAACTATGAGGTGAGTGGAAATCACTCATCTCATAGTTCTCCTTTAAAATGCTAAAGCTTATACAAAATATTATGGACTTTCTGTCCAGTGTCAATGGTGACTAGGACAGATAGAAAGGGAGAATCTTCCCAGAGGAGACTCAGACAGCAATAAAAACCTGATAGGGATTATACTTCCAATCTATCTAAGGGCCGGTTCACACCACAAAGTCTGCGTTCCAGAGCGTTTGGCCTCTGGAACGCGTGAGAATACAAGCTGGCCGGCACCTCCCACCCGCAGTGCGATCGCCCGCAACCGGAACGCAGGCACATTAGTGCTTGCGTTCCGGTTCAGTGCGATCTGCAAAAATAGTGCTCGCAGTATTTGCTGAGATAAAGGGACCGAAATAGTTCAGAAACGTTGCTACACATTGTGAGATAACTTTTCTTTTGTCAAAAAAGAATTGGCAGAATTCACTTTGGTGTGCTGGTGACTATTTTTTGAATTTTTACCTGATCTCCTGTCACAGAGTCGCTTTGCCGGTCCTGGGCTCCCACTGGGCACAGCGGAGCTCGGGATCGGCGACATGCAAAATACAAGCAATCAGGGCAGCTCTACAGCTGCCGGAACACTTGTATTTAAACAGTCATTGCTGGCTGTGTGAAATCTGAGCAGTTTTCCCGCTCGTGTGCACGCTACATGGCGCGCACAAAAGGGAACAGGGAAGAACGTTTTAAAACGCCCACCCGAATCTAGAACGTTCCCGTCCAGCCGGTTATGTATGGCCGCTGGACAGGAAGCAGTTAACGAGACCCTGTCGCCAGACCATTTGTTTCAATAATAATCTTAAGATTATATGTGCATTTATCATATTTAATGCATGTTATGTATCTGTAAAGGCCTCTCTTCTGTAGACATATAAAAGCACTGAGATTGCTGGATGTGATGTCAGCCACCCCAGCAGATTCAGAGCTGTCACTCCAATTTCCAGGCAGAAATTGTATTAACACTTACAGTGGGGCTACCCATGCATTGCAAAGGTTAACTGCTTGTTATTGCCTAGGGTAATAAAAAAAAGTTATACTCACCCCATCCTTAGAGCCAGCAGTGCTCCCTCCAGCCTCTCTTCTCCTTGACTGCAGCGAAGGTATGTCCCTCAACGTCCTCACGTTCTATACACTGTATAGGACTTGATGACTCAAGGATTCCCAGACTGCTGTAGAGGAGGCGGAGAGACGCTCCAGCAACTGGCTTGGAGGATCAGATGAGTATAACTTTTCTTTTTTTACCCTAAGCAAAAATGAGTAGTTAACCCCTGCAGTGAGGGGGTTGCCCGGAGTTCTTTAAGTTGGTGACAGGGTCTCTTTAAGCTTCCATATTTGGGACTCAGGCTACTACCATCAGACATGTTTTGCCTTCTAATGCTGGGCACACACCTTACAACCATCGCAAGACTTTTGTCTTGCGATGGTTGTAAGGTAATTAAAAAAACTTACGATCTGCCTATCTTGGACAGGCAGATCGTACTTGCGATGATCGCAAGCCCGCCCCGCTGAAGGGCGGGCTTCCGATGACCGCAATGCCGAACGGGTAGTGTGCGCTTGCGCACACCGGCCCCTCCGGCTTTTATCTTACGAACATGCTACACACCCGCCGAACGTCGCACGATTCTCGGCGGGTTTTCGAACATGTTCCTAAGATAAAAGTCGAGCGACCTTACAGTAGTAGAGGTCGCACGGCTCCCACACACCTTACGATCATCGTACAAGCACGGGATTTCCCGCGATTATCGTATGATTATCTCAAGGTGTGTGGGCACCTTAACACAGTCCCATTAAACGCCTTTCCTCTCTGAAATGCTGTAGCCAGGAAGTATGGAAGCAGTAAGGTAATGCTATAAATACAAGTTAATTGTTCTCTATAGCCACTCAAAGAGATTCCGGAAGAGTGCACTTCCTCTTCTATCACCACGAAAAAAAATCAATTATACCTTAAAGAAACAAAGACTCTATTCCGATTTTTCTTTCTCTCCCGGCCATAAACCTCTTTAATTGACTAGGCTTGTCCATAAATCCAGAGCGGGCAAAAGACCACTGCACTCTATCCCATTGGACAGAACAGAACTGCAGTGCAGTACAAACATCAATACCTAAGTGGGTCCTGTACAAGAGAGTCCGAAGGCTCTGAGATCATTCTTCATAACTGTATCCATCTAAAGTACCCATAAACAAGTTTAATTGTATTCTTATATCAGGGCAGATAACGCAAATCAATTGGCATCAGTTCCTGCTTGAGCTCCAAGCCTAATTTCCATAACACGGCCATATACTAAAGTCAATTCTGAGCGGACGCTGACAAAAGATAGCCATTAGCTTTGTGCTGGAACTATCTGTGCATTCTCCCCTCTCTCCTCTACTGCCTAAACAGGAATGCTTGCATGATAGTATTTAGGGTAGTAGCTGGGCCAACATGAATATCAGACTGCCCTGGTTCTAGGAGTTCCCCAAGGGGAGGGCGCTCTAGAGGAAAACTAAGCTGCACGCCAACATCTGGGGGTGTTTGCCATAAACCAGGAGAAGGAAAAATCAGGCCCTCCTGCTCTGGTGAATCTACAAATCCTATCATGCATCTGCCTCTTGGAGTGATCCCTGTCCAATACCTGTGATTTGTAGCTCCACAACAGCTAGAGGGCCAGAGTTTGTCTACCCCTGCTATTGACTCACTGGCAGCTCACACCTTGCAATCTATGTACAGGTTTGGTTTTAAAAGGTTAGTTCACCTTTTCATACAAAAATAAAAAGGTGAACTAACACACAACACCCTCTCTACTCCCCACTACACTTCACTGTGGCATGGTGAATACAACCCGGGAGGCTGTGTAGCATCATAATGCTCACAACAGCTGCCCAATAAGAATCTCTTAGTGATTCCAGTGACTCAAAAACAGTGATGTGCGGGGGCTTGGTGCTAACCCAGCTTGCAGTGCAGCTGGGGGAGAGTTGGGTGGGGAGATGTGTAAGGGCCATGCACATCTCTCCAACCAGCTCTTAGCAAACTGGGATGCTATGGCTGGAAAGAGGGTGGCAGGCACACTGCAAACATTGTGCAGTTCTGTCTGCTGCACCTCCCCATGACCAAAAAGATGCCACGTGAGGCAACAGCCTCAGACTGCCTCATTAAAGGAATGGCCCTGCCAGTTCGCCAAGGTTCTCCAAACCCAAGTGACTGACACACCCACCTCCCGGCCCAATCAGCTGTGGCCAGAACATTCACCCATCACATAAGGGAACGCCCCTGCTGCAACTGATTGAGCTGGGAGGGGGGAATCGGTCATAGTTTTGCTCTGGCTTGGGCAAACTCAAAAAGGTATTGAGGCCACCGGATATGCTTAATAGCCAGGCAACCAACATCTTCAGAAGGTCAGCAATTGTACTCTTAGGAAAATGTTTCCAACAAGCGTGCACCAAGACTTGAAGTGGGTGTTCAACATATTATTGAACATGGGTTTCCTAATATAGGATGACCGTGGAGACAGGCCTCCTATTAGTGAAACAGCCATTGGTTACCAAATCTATCAGCCTTAAAGCTCTGTGACACACTATACTGACAAGAGGCGGACGGCGCCCCGGGGAGGTGGTCATGTGATTAGGCCCTGAGAAGCGATGTTTAATTACAGTGCTTTCCCACACAGAACACTCCATTGTCTCTGCATACATATATTTGTGAGCTGCTCTTATGTACTGTTCATCAGTGCCTGATCTCACAAATGTTTCTGTCACACTGGCTGAGAACCATTCATCTAATTATCCAAGGGAGGATAATGCAGATTTGTGGTGTCAGCCTCCTTCTCCACCATCGGAGGAGACAGCTGTGGGTAAGGAGATAGCAAAATACATGCTGCTAATCTATTGTGAACCTGGCCGCTGACATTCATTCAAGCTGAATGTGTCGCATGTGAAGACAGATTGCAGTTTTGTAGAAATAATGTTTAAAAGAACTTGCATGCTGCTTTTGCTGAGTTTTCAGCAGTAAAAAAAAAGCTTCCTGTATCCTCATGGGTCCTGATGGGCATCCTCTCTAATGTTCTGCATGCTTCCAGATTAAAGTACACCTGTGATATAAGTGGCTAAGTTAAGCCTAAGTATTTGCTATCTATGTCCCAAAAGAG